CAATGGTGTGTTAGTTTCTGCTTTATAACAAAGTGAATCAGCTATACATATACATATATGCCCATATCTCCTCCCTCTTGTATCTCCCTCCCACCCTCCCTATCCCACCCCTCTAGGTGGTCACAAAGCACCGAGCTGATCTCCCTGTGCTATGTGGTTGCTTCCCACTAGCTATCTATTTTACATTTGGTAGTGTATATATGTACACGTCACTCTTTCACTTTGTCCCAGCTTACCCTTCCCCCTCCCTGTGTTCTCAAGTCCATTCTCTACATCTGCATCTTTATTCCAGTTCTGCCCCTAGGTTCTTCATGACCTGTTTTTTTTTTTTTTAGATTCCATATATATGTGTTAGCATACAGTATTTGTTTTTCTCTTTCTGACTTACTTCACTCTGTATGACTCTGTTTATGTTTTTTAATTGTCTGTCTCCTTCGCTAGAATATAAAAGCTTAGACTTTGACTACATTGTTCACTGGTATACCCCCAGCACTTAGAACTGTGCCTGGCACTGAGTGAATGAATAATTAATGGCTAAATCAAACGAAGCTAGAATGTTACATGGGACCTTGGATGCCAAGGTAAGGAAGGTGGACTTTATTCAGATGAGTAGAAGGATTCTGAGGTTTTTGAGATAGAGGTGGAAAGATGCAAAGATATACCTCTTGCCTTCAAAGAGCTTATAATTCACAGATGACCCAAACAAAATCGTATTTTGAAAAAGAGAAGCTAACAATACAAAGTACCATATTATAAGCACCTAATGACTCACATAAGACAATCAACGTGACAGGAATTTGGTTAAGAAAGGGAGTGAGGGCTGGTGGAGAGGAGGCACAGAGGAAATATCTTAAGCAAGTATAACATTGTCAGAAAAGGCGCAAAGGCAAGAAATGTTGTGATGTCCAGGGAACAGATTAGTTCAGTCCAAAACTAAGAGTACGTACATAAGGACTTTACACCAATTTATTATCAAATATCTGTTTTATCATAAAGGCACGGTCCTTGAATGGAAATGCTTGCCTCAGAGGTCAAAAACTGAAACCCTACTAAGAATATAACACAACAACATGCCCATAAGACCATGCATTAAATTGTTTTCTATTTTCTGTCAAATAAATTTGAATATTAATTAATTTATTCTTTTTCTTTTCATTTCTCACAGAGTTGCCACCCCATTTGGAGGTTTTGAAAAAGCATCAAAAATGGTTAAATTTAAGGTTCCAGATTTTGACCTACTACTTCTAACAGATCCCAGGTTCATGGCCTTTGCCAATCCTCTTTCTGGAAGACGGTCCTTTAATAGGATTCCTAAGGGATGGATATCTGAGAATATTCCTATAGTGGTAACAACTGAACCTACAGAGGATACCACCATACCGGAATCAGAAGACCTATGAAAAGAAAGTTGTATGTGACACAAAAACCTGTAAACGTGAATGTTGCTGTTTTATTATTCTACTTACTTGCAAAGCCACTTACACTCTTCATTAGTAGCAATAATTTAATAGCAATTTAGCAATTTTCCTTTTATGACATTTAATTTCAATCTCACATCAAAATCTAATAAATAATTAAAAATCTTATTTTAAAACCTTTTAAGTCACTCGTCTTTATTCATAATCTTGTTTTCACCTGGTCTAAGCAATCTGCCTTTTCAATGAGAAAGTCCAGAAAAGTTACTGACAACAAAGGGTTTCATCTTTTTTGCCTTTAATATAAGCTATTACTGAATAAGTTTTTCAAATGGATCTAGAATCAAAATATAGTGCAAGATATTTAGATTAATTCAGAGTTTTATTTAAGGGATGAAAGCTATGGAAGTTGATATACAAACATTATTGATGGAGAAAAGGGTTGGGTTCTTCTTTTCTGACAAGCTTCCATGATAAAATAACTTGTCTAGATGAAGTCTTTTCATTAGTCGTTCTTAGAATTTCTAAAGTGCTTTGTATTTTTCAACGTGCTTTGAATCATTAGGTAATTGTTCCAGATGGCATTTGCCAGAGTTCAATTGGGTTATTATTTTTGTTTAGTATTAAGTCAAGGAGACTGAGAGACAATGACTCAAAGAACGTCATACTATTGCAGTTTTCATGATCAAGGTATACTTGGAATTCAAGTTCCACAATGCTGTATGTTGATTAGGTTCAACTTTATGTATGCATTTTTAGAAGAGTAATAACAAAATACATGCTAATATACATACAAATAAATATATGTATACGACGGGGGGAAAAAGAGAGTGTGTAATTTGAATTGGCAGCTTTCTTTGCTGAATCTTTAAATTCTGCTCAAATCCTTAAGCACGAGGGAGTATATGCCTAAAACACAAATAAAAACAAGAAATGGAAGAACACAAAAGCATTTGAAAGTAATATAGCACACATCTATCATGAAATATATTAATATATTTGTATAAAAGACTCAAACTAATATAAAGTTATAGATATATCTTAAAATATGGTTGAAGAAATATATGCCATGGAACTGGTAAGACATAAATATCAATTCTTCCCATTTCAATTCAGTTAAAAGTTCTGTGATAGATGTTTATACCAGAGAAGAAATGTCTTATCCATAGAAAACTATCTACCACATTAAGTTTAGGAGGCTGGAAGAAGGAAAGTGTATAACAGAGTAATGAAAATGCTGTGTAGCAACATCGCATATTTACAAAAGAATCTGCATGTAATGTTGAAATTGGTGGTTGTTTTGATCATCTTCTAGTCTTTACAAATTTGCTTATGAAAAATGCAGTGCCTAGAAAGGAACAGTATCTTACTTATGCATATTATCACTGTAGAGAATTTGTATAATCTAAAGTATATCTTTAAGATATCTTAGTTTGGGGGAAGCAGGGGGTGGCAGGGGTGGTGGTAGTGGTATGAATTGGGAGATTGGGATTGACATGTATACACCAATATGTATAAAATTGATAACTAATAAGAACATGCTGTATAAAAAAATAAAATAAAATTCAAATATAAAAAAACAAACAAAAAAAACAAAAAAAGATACCTTGAGCTTCCCTGGTGGCGCAGTGGTTGAGAATCTGCCTGCCAATGCAGGGGACACGGGTTCTATCCCTGGTCTGGGAAGATCTCACATGCTGCGGAGCAACTAAGCCCACACACCACAACTACTGAAGCCCGCGCGCCTAGAGCCTGCGTACCACAATGAAGAGTAGCCCCCGCTTGCCGCAACTAGAGAAAGCCTGCGTGCAGCAACAAAGACCCAAAGCAGCCACAAATAAATAAATAAATAAATAAATAAATAAATTAAAAAAATAAAGTTATATTAAAAAAAAGATATATTAGTTTTATTTATGTTTTGGTATTTACCTGTTTTAAAATAACAATGTTGGCATCTACGATAACTCTAGATATGAGGGTCCCATCATGCCATTTTTTTGTTCATTTTAATCTTTTAATAAATAAAAAATGAGTCATATTCTATTATACATTTTGATGAAATGGTTTAGTTCTTTATTAGCAATTTGAAATGTTACTACTTTTCATTAAACTGAAATTTTATTGCATTATTTTAACTATCTCCAAATAGTTAAACTCTATGCTCAGTGTCACCACTCTGTCAACCACCAAAAAGGGGCCAGCAATTAAATATGTTAGTTATAGAACAGTATTCTCCACATCATAAAGGAGAATTTTAAAAGGGGAAATCTTAAGTTTTTTTTTTAAGATTGGTTAGAAAATGATGGAATAGCCCTCTGCTCACTATCATATTTCTTCCTTTCCTGGAAGTATCTATTAATTCTAATTCAGTTGTCTGACACCTTTAGAAATGCCAAATTTCACAATCTCGTTGCTACACAATTAGAATTTGAAAGGAATTTTGGATGGGTTTTCCACTGACCTAAAAAGCAGCTAAATCTTTCAAAGTCTGAAGAAATATGATAGGCTTTTTAGAACAGCAGAAAGACTGTGGCATTTTTTCCACCCACATGAAAAATGAAATAAAGGAGAAAGAAAATTAAAAGAAAAAGTAAATGAATGAAAATAATATTTGCTGATGGACTACTAAATGCCAAGCACTATACTCACTGGTTTATAAAGGCTATTTAATGTGTATTATTTTATTTTATTTTACTTTTCGGCTGTGCTGCATGGCTTGTGTGATCTTAATTACCCAACTAGGGATTGAACCCAGGCCACCACAGTGAAAGCACTGAGTCCTAACCACTGGACCACCAGGGAATTCCCTATATTTTAAATATTATTTTATTTTCATGATTATCCTGTGAGAAATGTATTATAATCTCCATTTTATATAAGAAAATTGAGCCTCAGAGAACTAAGGTGACTAGCTTAATTCTAGCTCTAAAGTAGAAGAAATAGGTGAGTCTGGCTCTAAAATATATGCTCTAAGAACTCATGGTTCATAACTTCTCTTTCAGAATAATTTCAGCCTTAAACTATTTTATTATGTCTAGACAAATAATAAAAAATCTCCATTATATTAATTTTGGGAAAATATAGCTATAAATTGAGTAACTTTAGAGTCACCCTCTAAAGTCATTCAGGCACTCATAATCATAAAAAGTTGAACCTTCAGACTTTCAAACAAGCAATGTGCATGTTTAATTATGAAATCAGAGAAACACAAAAGCATACTCTGATTAAACCTGCTTGTTTCTGCTCAGCATTGTGCACACTTCTGATCGATATAAACTTTTTTGTTTTCTTTCCCCTGTAAGGGGCAAAGAAGGGAGAAAGAAGAAGAAATAAAGAGGACAGAAATGCACAACACTAACCATAAGGCTGAACGAAAACATCTAGTGTGATAACACTCCAAAAACATTCCTTTAAATGAAAATGTTTTCAACTTTTCAAAACTTTAGAAGAATTTCCATTATACTGTTCAACAGACTGACTTCTGGGTCATAAAATATTATCTCCTATTTTATTTAGCCAATTTCTTGATGATCAGCTGGCCAATTGTTTTCTGGATAACACTAGGTCTGCATTAACAACTACAGCAATAGTTAGATCATTCTTGGCTTTTTTTTTTTAATATTTATGTATTTATTTGGCTGCATCAGGTCTTAGTTGTGGTACGCTGATCTTCGTTGCAGCATACGGGATCTTTTAGTTGCAGCATGCGGGATCTAGTTCTCTGACCAGAGATCGAACCCAGGCCCCCTTGCCTTGGGAGTGAGGAGTCTTAGCCACTGGACCACCAGGGAAGTCCTCATTCTTGGCTTTTAACTCTCCACTCCCTTCAATCATTTCTCAAGGCTGGTATTTTCCATTTCTTAACTCAATATTTGAAAGGACTAGATAACTTAAAATAACTAATTATCAGTTATTACAAAATCAAGGCAAATATGGACAATAATTTTTAGTCAAAATGACCATTTATCCACTTAAAATTTTACATTTTCTAAGTAGACCAATTTATAAATGTTTTAGCAGCGTGGAAATGGAGGGAGCCAATTATTCTCACAAAGACTAAAGTGGAGCAGAATGTCCAGTCATGAGTGTGAAAAGAACATCCTGAACTTTCCAACTCAGGGCACAGCTGTACCAGCCGACTTATTAATTCTGGAATTTCCTCACTCTGCTGCTTATGCAAGATAAAACTTACATGACATCACTGCAGTTTCCCAGCCACAACTGCTTTTTATTAAGCTTAGGAAAGTATTGCTCTGAATGCCCCTTTTCTTATGAAAAATACTTTCAACCTCCACATGCTCTATTCTGTAGGAAGAAGGGCAGTTCACTTTCTATGAAAGGTGGAAGAGTGCCAGGCTTTTGCCAAAAGAACAAGCAAGGGGAATCTATTCCAAACTAACTGATCAAAGCACTTCACAAATGTATCAAAGGATTTTTAGAAAATTATAATGCTTAAAAAAGTTAAACTTTTCAGAACTAAGAAAAAAGTAAAATTGTGTAAGAATTTCAATGGCTTACACATTGAAGTATTATTAGATAAATAAAAGGGTACGTCCCTATTTGAATTCCTTAAATAAAAGAACTAGATTTCAACTCAGGATATAAATTTTCTCTGACTTCTCAATATAATGTGATTTCAATAGGAAGATTTGGTACGTATGGGCAAAGAGGGGGGAAAATTATTTCTAAGAGGTTACAATTCAGTTTCAAAAACAATGTGCTTATTATTCTGGATTGTGTAATATTTTGAAGCACATTTCAATGACAACTTAGGCAGTGTAGGAGATGGAGACAGCTCAGGAAACAGAATTGGAAAGAGTCAGAAGGACAAAAGGTAAGTTCAATTACTAATTGAAGAATTGGTATAGAAGCTGCAGCACTAGCAAAATAAATCTAAAAGAACAGGGTGAAAAAAGAAAGGCCAGAATGAAGCATGCCGAAAGGAAATAACTGATATTCTATGGTTTCTAGAGCATTTTCCTTACCCCCTTTGAAGAAGTTTTGTTATATGTATATCAATTGTCTAATGTGAATTGTCACCCAAAATAGATAACTCTCATTACATTTTCTTTATCAACACGCACTTATAAATTGCATATTAAAGCAGTTGTATTTAAATGTGCCAGCTATCTGCTAATCTACCACAAATTAGTAATATAATCTCAAGCAATTTACTTCACTCTGGAAGTTTTCTCCAACTATTTATGTGTTTCAAAGGCCACTTCTGCCTAAGACCTTCCCTGACCACCCTTAAGAGAGCACACTTATAACCCCTTATTGTGCTTTTATTTTTCCTTTATAGCCCTTATTACTCCCTAACATAATGTGTTAGTCTGGGTCCTCTGAGGAGCAGATGCCAAGATGGGGTTAAACCTTGCAAAAATTTTATTAGGAAAATTGCCCACATGAAAGAAAATGGGGAGAGAGTCAAAGAAAGGCTGGGAGAGACCCAAGGGACCTCAGATGGAACTGCATGGATATGTTCTAGACTGCCCAGCAGTCTAGGGAAGATTCAGCAAGGCTGTTGGAGGATCTGTGAGCCCAAGTCACCTGTAGGAGAGGTCCGGTGTTTCCCAGAAACGAGTTTGCCCTAGGGTCACTGTCATGGTCCCTCAGTGGCTGGGAGCAGACTGTGGAAGGCAGGCTCAGCAAGAATGCAGTGATGGAGGTCAGAGGGAGTAGAACTGGGGCCCTCAGACAACTACGTTAAGATCCACAAGATGTAGCCGCCACACACAATGTATGTATTTATTCCTTTATTATTTATCTCGCCCACTCGAATGAATGTTCTCTGAGGGTAGAGACTTTGCTTTTCTTTAACTACTGTATCCTTTGTGACTGGTATATAGTAAAGAACAAGAGAAGTTCGTTAAATGTATCTTAATTATGGGGATAATACTAGTATCTATCTTAAAAATTATATATTATACATTATATTACCAAATACATTGTAAATGCTTGATACATGTTAGCTATTATTATTAACAAAATAAAAAATTATCATGCAGTAAGAAAGCAAAGGCATTTAGAATGAAGTTAGATTAGAGGTTACACTGGAACTGCTTTGGGATAAATATATTTGGCCCTGATTTGGAGCTAATATATGTTGGCGCAATGAGTATATTAAATACATACATAATCAGAAACACTAATTTGGCCTGACTACTTTTTAGGATAAGCTTGCACCAGCTCTGTTCTCCAGACTCAAAACTGCAATTAAGGGAGACTTTTTAGGATCTTGCTAAAATAGTACTATTTCTTGTGAGCATTCACATATTTTGTAGGTCACTTGAGAATTTTAAAAAATCGATATAGTGGATACTTTCCTTGATCAGTATATACTACCTTTTTAGAAAATACATTATACAATCAGAAAGGAGTTCCTATGGACAGATGGCTATATAATCCTTCATTTTTTTTAAACTAAAATGGCTTTTCATTTAAATACCTGTTTGGAATATTTCAAATCAGGAAGTATGTTGCCCCAGAATCCTAATGTTTTCGCATAGTCATCTCTAGAGTACAATGAATAAAAACAATCACCCCAAGTCCCCTTCTCTGGTGGGTTTCCATGTTGCTTAAAGAAATTAGGCATCTGGTAGTCATAAGCATGGAAAGGAGGTGATTCCTCTATGAGCTGATGCTAACATAATGGAAAATTCACTTAAATACAATCAACCTGAAATAACTTTTTCTTCTTTTCCAACTTATCTTGAAAAAGAAGGAATACTTTCTAAGCTTAATTTTAAACTCAGTTCCTAATATTTATTTTACCTTACTTCTACCTATGTGAAAAATTGGAGCTAATGAAGTTTCTGTAACACAACTGATTTGCCTCAGGTTCCAGGCCTCCTGTGCAAGGCTGTCTTCTGAGCCATACAGCACTCTAGGCTCAGTTGCTATTTTGGAACATAAAGTCAAACATAAACATGGACCACATTTATTCAAAAAACATTCTTTACTTCTGATGCATAGAAAGAGATGTAGATATAGTTTATGGTTAATTACAATAAGTTTCCTCACAAACTCATCAAAATCTATTAAAAACACATTAAACTTATCATAATACTATAGACAACGTGCATGGCCCCCCTAAAATCAATATGGTGAAACCCTAACCTCCATGTGATAGTATTAGGAGGTGGGGCCTTTAGGAGGTGATTAAGTGATAAGGGCATAGTCCTCATGAATAGGATTAGTAAAAGAGACTCCACAAAGCTCCCTTGCCCCTTCCCCCATGTGAATACACAGAGAGAACATAGCCAAATATGAATCAGGAAGCAGGCTCTCACCAGACACCAATCTGTCAGTGCCTTGCTCTTGGACTTCCCAGCTTATAGAAATATGGGAAATAAATTTCTGTTGTCTATAAGCCACCCAGTCTATGGTATTCTGTTATAGTAGCCTGAACAGACTAAGACACATAGCAATGCAGAAAAATTATCATGTTTTTAGATGCATATATGTATAATGTATTAATTATGGTTAATGATCATAATTATCATAATGTATTAGACTATGCATTACTATGTACTAGCCTATGTACAAATCCATACCCTGATGTTTACTTAAGTGTCCTCTTGTTAGCATACCAAAAGGATATTAATGTTTAAGATATAATAGGAATAAGCAAAAAAGTTATATTTTACCAAATACAACCCACTAGTACTATGTTAATAGTGTAACGAAATACTCTCCTTGGTTTAAATAAACAACCATTTACTTAGAATCACAGCAATTTAGAATTAGACTCTATCTTGAAATACTCTAAATCAATTCCCTCATTTACAGAATAGAAACTTAGATCAGAAAAGTTAAGGAACTGGCTCAGTCTCACGTTGCATGTCTAAAATTAGAACCCAAGAGTCCTGCTTCTGATCTAACATTCCTCCCACTAACTTATTCTCTCTCCTATCTCAGTGGAGAACACAATGATCCAGATGATGGGCACAAACCACACACCTTCTGGTGACATAACATACTGTACATGATTTAATATTTATCTATATCTATATAAATATAGCCTTATATAATTTGTATACCTTATTTATTAGCCACAGAGAAATAAAGCTCTGAATTGGGGTAATGTTAATAAAATGTGGAACCAGAGAGTAAAGGCTTTTTTTTTTTTTACAATATCAAGAAGTTTTACTTTAATCAGTAAAAAATTTTAATGTGACAATATCAAACCAAAATGAATATTCTTTCCTAACTGGAAGGGGGTAAATTTCCATACTGTATTAAAAAAAAAAAAGAGTAAACATTGCTCCTTCCACCAGAAACCTCTTGGTCCATGTCTTTCAACCTATAGTTGTGTTCAGTTAGGTGGTGTAAAAATCAACTTAGATGCTTATGATCAGCAGCTTTTCAAATGAAACAGAATAAAGGAAAAGAAAACATCAGAGCATATCACTCATAGAAATAGTATTATTTCAGGAAACTACTGATTTTGCTTTATATATATGTTCATGCAAACTGGATCACAATGTAAAATATACTGCGTTTTCTAGGTTGCAGTCTAAAATGTTTGAAAGTTACTGTTGTACCTACTACTAAATGCTGTTTAAAATTTAAATGTCAGCACTGTTAATAGCAAGTGGAATGGCTTTTCTCTATCACATTAAAACTATTATAACTAATTTGATAAAGAGTTATTCAGAATTAAAAGAATTTGAAACAGTAGCAGAACAAAACTTGTAGAAAACAATTTAATCAGAAAACCTTGATTTAAAAATGTACAAAATGGTATTAACACACAATCCAGGGATATTACTTGCCAAGAGTTGGTTTGTTTTTTCCTCCAGCACAATTTCAGTTTGAGGGCTTGTTTTACAGATAAGAGACTAAAAAACTCAAGAGCACTAACAGTTAAGAAATAAAGAAATTAAATACTCTAAAATTTCTGCCTTTACCTATACTTCTTTGAATTATTTCTATCACTGAATATTTTCCAACAATTTTATTACTGTATTAAAAAGTAAACCTTTTTTTCCTTTGACTGTGAAGTGAATTTCAACAAGGAAGTTCAACTTGAAAACAATGGTGCCCTGAATATTTTTGTCATCTTTACAAAGAAAATTGCTCTCCAGGGCAACTTCCTTTGGGTTCATGGCTTTAGCCAATATGCTATGAGCAAAAGATATGGTGTTATTTTACTATTGTACTTCTTGAAGAACTACCTCAAAAACAAGTCAGTCTAAGATATATAGTTGTGTGTGTGTGCACGCACACACACGTCACAGAGTAAGTTTGGTAAATTTCCAAACGCCATAGTGTTGTTCATAAAGTCAGAGTACTACCACAGATATCACAATTGAGAAAAAGAACATCTTTTCCTGTGAAGTGCTCTTGACTTCTTCCTTATGTTCCCCTTCCCGTGTCTTTCAGAAGGGCACAAAGGTGTCAAGTATGTTTATCACCAGTATTTGAATATAGAAGAAATCTGATTGCACTTTAAGAAACAAAAGAGTACTATCTCCTATGAAACTTTTAGAATATTTCAGGGAAAATATTTCACACCAGGAAAATTCTGTGACTAGGAATTGAATTTTAGCCCTGCTTCTATCAGTGTCTAGCATGAGCCTAGGTAACTTTACCTCCTCGAGCTTAAGTGTTATCATCTGTACAGTGAGGGATTTTAGCAAACTAATCTCTCAGATCCTCTTTATCTCTAAGATTCTAAAGAATTGTATAAATAAAACGTTATAAAACTTGTTTTTGAAAAAAATTAAAGAGAAATTATACTAATGCACAAAAATCCTAGTGAATCCTAGGCTTTCAATCAAAACCTAGATGTTTTCGGCCTTTAATTCTGGATCTGTTAGTATGGCACATATTGCCTTCCTCATTCCTACTTACTCTACTGTATTTCCATGGCTGTAACCAGATGTCATACTTAACTGATAAGTTCCTTTACTTAGTCATTCAGTTTGCTTATTGAGTGCCTCCTATATGTCAGACACTGTACTAGGTACCCCACTTTCACTGTCTCTAACATAAGGATATTAATAATAAAAGTTAAAAGTTAAATAATATAATTTGCATAAAACACTTAGTTCGTGGTGTATTTTGGAATTAAGTAACAACTGGGAAAAGGCCCCATTTCACATCTTCAGCGTTTAGAACCACGTGGCTCAATCCCTTCCTTTATGGATTAAGAGGTTAAAAGAGGTGAGCTGACCTCCCACAGGCTCAGCTCCTTGAGAGCAAAAGAGTTCCATAACTCTCCATCCATTCTTTCTATCATATTATGCTGCTTCTGAACGTAAGCAATTCCACTATCTGTTTCTTTCATTCTTTCTCTCAGATTACAAAACGTTACTAGAAAAAAAAACATGCAAATAAATGCCCACAGGGGTGGCAATCCTACTAATCCTGTCAACAGCAACCCAGTTAGGGATTAGCTAGGACACCTTGCTATGTACAGATGAGGAAACTGCGTTTTAGAGTAGTTAATAACTGCTCACGGTCACACAAACAATAAATGGTAAAGTCAGGATTTGAACATAGGTCTGTCCAAGTCTAAAGGCCATGCTCTTTTATGATACCGTGTTGCCCTTAAACATGGTCTCTACTTGGCTTTCTAAACAATTTTAATGCTGCCATGAGGGTTAACGTGGGCTACAGCTGGAGCTGAATGTCAGGAATCCAGCCTTCATCAACATTTTCCTCAATGATTTAGCTGCAGACAAAGAAGATATAATTAATTCTGGCAATATAAAAACTGAGGAAGAATAGTGAATTTTAAGAAATATGGGCTAAAACCTAATAGGATGTTTTAAAGAAATGAACGAAACAGATGATGAAGATGCTTGTGTTCTGAGGCAATATAAGCATTTGTGTCCAAAAAAACTAATGGCATTAAAATTTGTGAAACTCAGCTTAATGCCAATTCATAAAAACAAAATAATGCAACAAAAAATTTAGTATTTTGAACATAAACTTATATTGGCTAACAAAGTGACATAGTTACAAAATAGGTTAAAACAATCTTACTTAAACTGTCCTGATAAAAACAGTGTCTGAACCAAAAAAGGAAATAATTTCCCCAAACCATAATCAAGCTAATTGCAAAAACCTGTTTTTATTTTTGGGCACCACATTTTTTCAGAAGTTGACAACAAAAGTGAATCCTGAATTCAGTTTCATGGATTATGAAGACTGTTACTGCATTCTCCAGGGACATGTTGATGAGTCCACTGTCAGTGAACATAGGTAAGAGCCTCCTTAGATGAAGGCCCACATAGAGGAAAAAGCATCTTAGATGATGACAGAAAAATGTCTTCCTGTTACTGATACCTTAAATATATTTTTCACTTTTTTTTTTTTTTTTTTTTTGTGGTACGCGGGCCTCTCACTGTTGTGGCCTCTCCCGTCGCGGAGCACAGGCTCCAGATGCGCAGGCTCAGTGGCCATGGCTCCCGGGCCCAGCCGCTCCACGGCATGTGGGATCCTCTCGGACCGGGGCACAAACCCGTGTCCCCTGCATCGGCAGGCGGACTCTCAACCACTGCGCCACCAGGAAAGCCCTCTTTTTCACTTTTGATTTTAGATCAAAGTCAAATAAATTTAAACCATGGGCTCAGGCATATTTATGTTCTTTAGTTCTCATTCTTTACATTCTACTTGTATTTTAATTTCCCATAGCTCTGATTCTTTTTCTTATTTACATTTGACCATTGTTTTATGTTATATACTAGAATTCATTTTATTTTATTTTTTAGAATTTACTTTAAATCTTTGTGGGATAAGGTGAAGTGTAATGAATGAATGAATGAATGAGTGGATTAGTTTAATATTTACAAGGCCTTCAAAAAATTGTTGAGAGAACTGAGTACTTTTAGCTTGAAAACACAAAAGATGTTTTCAAAGTTCAATAGCATCTTACGGAAAAGAGAATATAGATTTCTGTTGCTATAAAGGACAGAAAATAAGACCAGTGTGTAGAAATTACTAGAAGGTGAAGTTCAACTCACTGTGATGAAAATTTCTTAATAGTTAAAGAGGTCTTAAAAAGGAACAGGATGCCCCACAAAGCATCAGGTTTTCTATCACTGTCACTATATTTGAACAGACGTTGGACAACCACCAGCAGGAATGATCCTTTAGTGAGTGGGAGGCTGGACAGTTGGAATCTAAAGCCTCCTGCATCTTTGAGATTGTAATAAAATACGTGTAATAAAATACATATTACGACAAGAAAAACAATACATAGGTTCTTATAGCATCATGTTATCATTGATGACAGCAGTATTGGTAATCATAATAACAACACTAATGGCCATAATAACACAGTATAAGACTTTACAATTGCTTATATCTGGGGCATCATCAAAAGACATCATATATAAGCATTATTTCTCATCCCAATTTTACAGATAAGAAAATTAGGACGTTTCAAAGTGAAATAACAAACAAAGGTAATGAAATTGCCTAAGCTGACAATAAGTCAGCAAAAATTAAGGAGGTTATTGGCTAAACTACTAACTGTGGTTAACTAGCTAATGTTGACTCTAGTATATAAGAGGCTTAGAAAGGTTGAGATTTAAGTTTTGCCTAATGAAGAGCTGGCTGAGATGCCACGGATATTGAATTTGATCTTTTGATGTTTAACAACATGTCATGCTGCAGAGCTTTGAGGAGTCCAGGGAACACTCAATTCCTGAATTACCTATTTTATAAGAGGATAGAGAAACTTCAGGGACTCTCTCTCTCCCCACTCTCCCCATCTCTGCCTTATTCTTTCAGACCAGAGACTATAAGTGACAAGGCACACTGCCACAAGAACCTCTGAGCTCACAGTTTTATAGCTTTGCAATCAGAGAAAAAAGGGATCTTTCCTGTAAGCTCTAATTTGAAAACTCCTGGGAAAGAATGCTGATTAGCATGAATCACCCATATACCAATCACCAGAGCCAGAAAATGGTGAAATGCCCCACAAGGAGTTGTGCCCATCCTGTGGTTTAGTGGTGTGGATTACTAAAAGCAGGAAAAGACAAAGCAATGTATGTCCACAATACATATTTTCTTAATTGAAATAACTGAAATGTACAATAACGAGGCACTTCTAAATACATCTTTGAAATGGCTTTTTTTAGATGTGCATATATTAAAAAATTAAGTCTTCTAAACTTAGACATTACTTGATCAAAAATATTATAATTTTACCTCATTTTTGGTTCTATTCTCCCTTATTTCTTTTTTTCCTTCCAGATTTTTATCATCTCACAGACATGAGTTAATTTGGCCATAATATGACTCTACTTCTGGTTCTGATTGTGAGAAGCTACTTAGGAAGGAAGGGTATTCATGGAACACATCTGAATACTGACCGCAGACCAGCAGCCTTCCAGAAGACACTCTTAGTGATGACAACTTCTTTCCAGGTGTCTTCACTCTTGGTAACTGTATATTTTAATTTTACAGAAAAAAAGAAAAAGAAGAAAAGAAAGCCTTATTGTTAAGTTTCCATTCAGTGACTTATTGTAGATACAGATTCAGGTGTTGAACAACTCTTTACTGATGCCTACTCTGTGCCACTGTATTAGACTTTACAGAAAGAATGATGATCAAGAGAGAGGTGTTTCATGGGATCTTCTTCCTAGATAGTGAGGAAGACAATAAACAAATAAGCAAATAAATAAGCTAAATAATCACATGTTGTGAAAAATGGTATGAGATGAATAAACAGAACACTGTGATAGAGGTAAGCAGGGAGTTCTAGGTCAAGGATGACTTTTCCAAGAAGATGAAGTTAAAACTAAAGTATAGAGGATGAAAAGGAGTCAGCCACTTGGAGACTCAGGGGAAGGTGCTGTAGGTCAGCGTTTCTCAACCTTGGCACTATTGACATTTTGGACCATACAATTCTTTATTGTGGGGGACTGTCTTGTCCATTGTGGGATGTTTAGCAGCATCACTGGCCTCAACCAACTGGATACCAGTAGTGGCACCCCTTCCCCACCCTAACTGTGACCACCAGAAATGTACTGGCCTTTGCCAAATGTCCCCTGGGAGAAAAAAATCATCCCCAGGTGAGAGCCACTGTTCTAAGCAAAGGGAATAAAGAATGTAAAATCCTTGAATAGCATGAGATGCTGTTAGGGAAGTAAGGATAGATCATTAGTCCATTCAGAGGTCTGCAGGCCTTGGCAAGAATTTGGATTTTATTTTATGTAAATAGTAAGCCATTGAACAATTTTAAGTTGGGGAGTAACACGTTGACATTTACAATAGGTTACTTTGGCTTCTGTGTGGGAAATAGATTTAAAACCATGAGGATAAATGAGATCTCAGGACCAGGCACTGTGGAACATTATTTATCTTCATTTAGAAGATAAAAGTAGACTGGAAAGTGTAAGAGAAAAACAGTATGAAAAGGAGCAGCCAAAGAGGTTGGAGGAAAGCCATGAAAGAGGATGGTGTTACAAAAACTGGGAGGTGAGTCAAGGAGGAAGTGGTCGACTGTAACTAGATTTTTCTGGTTGGCCTCATCATCAAGTCACAGACTGAAGATTTCTCTGGAATTGCACTGGCTTAGCTCATCTTCTTGCCTAACTACAATTTCCTCTACAAATCTTCTGTATATAATTCCAAACTAAACAACCTGTTCAAGAACTTATAAAGGCTTCCTATTATAGCCCTGCATTGGCCTTGTTCATTCCTGTTTCTAAAACTTTGCTCTTGAAGTAGACATGTTTCCTCCTCAGTGCCTTCAAATATGCTTACCTATGAACCTTCCAAGCTGAAGCTCATATCTGATCTCCCACAGAAGCTTTCCCCAACAGTTTTCGTCCACATAGATGTCTCTATTTTCTAAAAAATCAACAAAACTTCCAGTTTTTCACTCTATCCGCTGAACACATTAGTTAAGGCTCATTGCCTGGAAATACAACAATGAAAAAATATGGTACCTGCTCTCTAGAAGCTTACTAAGAAAATAACACTTGTCAATATTTCCTTGATGCATTTAGGAAAAAAGGAGTCTGCCTCATATCCAATCCTGAGGGAGCCATTCAGCTATTTCTCTATACTGTATTTCACTTTACCTCACCCAGCTGATTCATGCTTTGCCACGCCTTTAGATGTTGATTACCTCCTGGAACTACTGGATCACAGCTCCTCAGGAAAGAATATTGCTACTCTTACCACTTATCAGTGACAGGGTGAATATATCCTCAAGATGGTACATCTCCCAAAGTCTGAGTTATAATCACTCCAGAATAATAGTTAAGAGGCGTTTAAGTATGGTGGTGCTGATAATGTAATCTTTGGGTAGGCCTCATTCAAACAGTGTAAGATGATCTTTGGCATTCCAACTCTACTCCCTTTCATGATCTCAAGCCAGTGCGAGGTGCAGACATTTTTATTAATTTGGTTCCACCCAATAAATAACTATTGAATCAAACATACACACATATCCCCCAAGGACAAACAGTAATTCTCAGAGGCAATACATTTAAAACCTATGTTGTGACATTTCTAACTACAAAGTTTTCTAGGAGCAACTCCTGCCCTAAAATGCAGTGCACTGTCAATTTTCCTTTTTTCTATGTTTGCTTCAGGCTGCCCTCTTGATGCTTAACTTGTGACCTATTATAAGTCTATCATTTAAAACTCAGCACTTAAATATGCCAAGAACTGGTAGAAAGTTTGAAATTACACGATTAAAAAAGTGTACAGTCAGGGTTTAGTCAAAATTTTTTTTAATTAATTCATTAATTTTTGGCTGCGTTGGGTCTTCATTGCTGTGCACGGGCTTTCTCTAGTTGTGGGGAGCGGGGGCTACTCTTTGTTGCGGTGCACAGGCTTCCCACTGTGGCGGCTTCTCTTGCTGCAGAGCACGAGCTCTAGGTGCGCAGGCTTCAGTAGCTGCAGCACGTGGGCTCAGTAGTTGTGGCTCGTGGGCTCTAGAGCACAGGCTCAGCAGTTGTGGCTCACGGGCTTAGTTGCTCTGTGGCATGTGGGATCTTCCCGGACCAGGGATCGAACCCGTGTCCCCTGCATTGGCAGGTGGATTTTTAACCACTGTGCCACCAGGGAAGCCTTTAGTCAAATTCTTGAGCAAGGTGAACTGAAGGGCATTCTTCTATAATCTCGAAATGAGGAAGGGAGATAGTATGAATCTTCATTATCCACAGTCCAAATTATATTTCAAGAGTGCTCTGTCAGTTACATTTGCAAAGAAATATAGTACAACATAATTGTTATAATATAAATAAGTCCAGAAATGGTGAAAGAAGGGCAAGTCTGTCTCAGGAAGTTACGAAAGGTTCCAGGGAAGAAATAAGTACTCAACTGAGACCTACAGGATCTTGAGAGAACCTAGTAGAATCAAAGAAGTGCAAGGAGTTCAGTACAGCTAGTGTGGAGTAAATGGGCAAGAATGGCAGATGAGATTAACAGTCTGGGGCCAGATCATGAAGAGGATGGGGGCCCCTGAAAAAATCTTGGTGAGGAATATCACGATTATATTTTCATGTTAGAAAAACTATTAATAGGCTGGAGGTTGGACTGGAGTGGGAAATAACTAGATGCTATTGCAATAGTCAAGGGAGATGAGTTAGGAGAGATGATTACTTGATGGATTAAGATAGTGAGAATGGAGATTAAAAAGAGAGGTGGATTTGAGAGATCCTTAAGGAGATGAGTCAACAGAATTTGATATTAGGATAGAGGAAATGTAATAGAGGGGCACCCATGGATTCTTGACTTGGGCAACTGGGTGCTATTATCTGAAATAGGGAATGAAAGCAGGCTAGGTTCCAGATGGTTGGGAAGAGCTATGGCAGTAAGAATAGGGAATGGTAAAGATGCCCACGTCAATTTGGGACATAGTTAAGTACCTATATGAAATCCAAACGAAGATGCTGTTGCTTAAAAGTGTCTAACCTGAAGATATACATTTGGGAGTCCATGGTGCCCAGGATACTTAGTAGGTAAGTCCATCAGGGGGAAGAGATTGCTCAAGGAGATGAGGACTAACAACAAAAGAAAATGGATAGTTTGGAAACACAGAGGGCACACATAAGAAGAAAAATATTTAAAGTGCATCAAAGAGGTAGTTGCAGAAGCAGGAGAAAGTGGCACTAAGGAAACCAAGGGTAGAATTAATGGTGCTATTTTTTAAATGTAGAGTATTTTTTCCCTCATGCTCCAAACGTTTTAAATTTCCTGAAGGCAAGAACCACGTCTGAAATTTCATTTTATTTTCTTGAGTGCTCAATTCAGTGAAGGGAGCATTAAATGTTCAGTAAATTCTCATTGATTCAGTCCCAGGTACTCTTCGCTTATACCGACCTAAAACGTTTCTTCGTTCTGTTTCTTCAAATAAACGTTTAGAGTTACCTACGAGTTTAGTTAAATCAGTTTTTATAATCTCTATGTTGTACCTGCAACAGCTTTGACATGAATTCCAAAACCTTACTACTTATTGAGAGGGATCTGTAGACAGTGGGTTTTTCATTTACTACTGTTCCTAAGAAACAAGTTATTCCAAAACAAAGTTTAGCCCATTCCCCAAGCGTTAGCTTGCAACTTAAAACCTGTTGAAAGCACAGTAAGGAGGCAGACACATTTTTCTCACCACAATTAACCATTAACCGGGTCAACGTGTTTATTAAGTCTTTCAATTTATTAATAGTCACGAAACAACCAGCTGGGGGATATACACTCATACCAATGGAAGTCATTTAACTGCAAACAGATGCTAAAGAGAACTGAGTATTCGCAAGGGTTTCGAGGCCAGGCAGTACAGGTTTTCTCTGAGGTAACAACTCCTAACTTAAAGCCCAGTCCTTGGTGGATTCGCGTCCCTGAGCTTAGAAAATACTGAATAAACAAACGACCAAGAGTATCGGAATAATCACCTCCACCTGAGGAGTTATCCCTTCCTCCCCTCTACACCACACAGACCAACCTGCAGCCACCTCTCTCCAACAGCTAAGCCACAGCGCTCCGCTCCCGCCTTAGGAAAAATGGTCAAGCTCCTGCTCTCGCGGGATCTTGCGCCTCCGAGTAAGTCAACTGGATCGCGCGCCCCAACGAACCCCCGCGGGAACACAGTTCGGCAGCTCCCGAAAGCCGGGAAATCGCGTGCGGGGGCGGGGCCAGCTCGTTGAGCATGAAGGCGGGGCCCGCTCCGAAGAGGCGGGGCGGGGGCGAGGCGGGGATTGGGGCGGGGCTTCCAGGACCTGTTGATCGCAGGTGTCACTGCCCTGACTGGCAGTGTTGAGGCGTGTGCGCATGCTCCGTGCGCAGGATCGCGCTTTGGGCGGCGGAGAGCAGTCTCCTCTGCTCTAGTTCTCGGTGAGCCCCGGTTACGGTGGCAGCTGTTGGTGTGTCAGCCTGTTGTCAGCTTGAGGCGGAGCTGGGCCAGCGGGAGGTAGAAGGCCCGTATTTCTCTACCTGAGCCGCACGCTCCCCTCACTAAAAGGGCAGAGCTCAAGGTAAGTCCCCAAAACTAGTCCCTGGATGGAGGTCCAACGACCTGCTACCCCCATGGGCCTGACTCGGAGACCCTCATTCCAGTCCCAGGCCTCGTCTCTCCCCTCGCAGTCCCGCGACCTCCTCCCCCACCCCACCCTCCTCGGGGCAGACTTAGGGGTCTTTGCCCGGGCTCTAGCGCCCGAGGTCACGCAGCTTCCCCGCCTCCTTCCCGCCGCGTCCGGGATCTGGCGGAGATGCCTTTGGCCAGGCTGGAGGCGCGCGCGAAGGGAGGAGGTGCTGTACTTACTGGGTCGTGGTTGTTAGTTGCTGCTGTGTTTGAGGGTTGGCCAGGGGCAGAACCTGGGATCCTGCTGGGTCGTTTACTGCATTGGGATTATGAATATTACGCTTACCTGGCGCCTGCCCCTCACTTTTCAAGCCACTGCCTCTCCGGAGCAGCAGTTTTTGAAAGGGGTCCAGGTAGTTATGTTGCCCTCTTTGGAGAAGAGATGATTCGTGAGAATCTTTGGGCTGGTGGTTTCTGGGTGGTAGTAGTAATTTAGAAAGTTAATGTTTAGTTTCTAAATGGCGACTTGTGGGACGTTTACCAAACTACTTTTAAACATCGTTGGAGAACAGGAAGTACTTGCACAGGTGTAATACCCTCCGTTTCTAAAGCCTGCAATGTGAGCGTGCTCTGAGGTTTTGTTATCCTGCTACAAGGTTTTCTTTATCAATGCGAAGCCTGATTAATGCTTGCAAAATGTACTGCAAGACTTTATTTGTTAGATAGCAGAGTTGCCAAATGTTTTCTCATCTGGAAAAAAATATGTATTTTTTTGCAAGGAGTTTTCCAGGCTATTTCTGAGGGATGTTTAAATTTAGCAGGGTCTTTGTGATTAGGGTCTGATTCACTTTTCTGTTCTTTAAAGGAAAGCGTTGCTAATTCTCAATATTTAAAAGGAGGAGAAATTGCTAACAAAATTCTGATTGAAATGAACTTTTGGCTAAGTTAATACTTCTTGTTAGTTTAATTTTCTATGTCTTTTCAGTTCCATGATGACGGTCTAGGCATAAATCCTTAATCTTGTAAAGAGAAACTAAAACAAACGAAACTTATTTTGCAAAATCAGAATATATGATTTATCTACCATTGTCATAATTCCAAATAGACAAACTCACTGTAGGTAGGAGTTAATTATGTTCTGAAAAAAACAAGGTTTTTGTTTGTATTTTACATTTTAGACGTTTTTAAAATGAGGTCTTTGGACAATTTGTTTAGGTTCATGATTACTGGTGATAAATCATGATGGTGATTTATTCAACTCAACTCACTGGTAGTTAGTGTATTTTTTACTACAGTGTGAAAAATAAGCAACCAAGAACAGATCTTTCCTTTTCCCTATTAACTAAAAAAACCCTTTTATAAATGTATGTAGATTGCATATAGTTCATGGAACTTGACACCAATAGTCATTCATTAATATTATTTTCTTTAGAAGATACAAAAAAGTAGTTTTTATTAGGAAAGCAATTTTAATGGTGGAAGGGCACCATTTTTCACCTAGTTTTCTTTTTCTTAAAAAAAAGAAATCACAAAACTTATGGTTTTAGTATGTACTGTGGATCAAGATCTTTTCTATTATTTAGTGTCATATGTTTATTTTAAACTGTGTAGTATCAAATACAATTTTGGGATCATGGTTTAGGAGTTTGTTTTAGCAAGACAAAGAGTTTAAAGATGAAAATTCTGTTTTAAGGTAGTGTACACATTCAAAAGTCAAAATCACAGTTATTTTCCCTGCTGGTACTGTTTGGAACTCACCTATCATGCTAGAAAGGACATTTTTTACCCCACAATTTTCCAAAAATATGTTTGAAATCTATAAAGTGGTAGATTGAGCTATCCTACAAGGATGTTTAGTTACTAAAATACTTAGCAGATCTTGGTATTTGACAGCTTTAACTATAAGGTTTTTCTTAATTATAAGCCCTAAGGCACGCTACAGTAAGGTAACTTAGATATTTCATATGGAAGTATTTTGAACACAGGGTGTGCTAGATGTGTTTGGGCTCAAAAGATTGTCAGTATAGCCTACTGTTGCTCATGAGCTCTTGGATTAAAGGAGGAAGTGTGCTAATTTATGTCATATTTGGAGAGATAGCTACAAATTAGTGATGATACATATGTAGCATTAGTGTATTATTAATTTTGTACAGATGTAACGATTTTAGAAAATTTTGCATTACAGTATATGCACACAATAGTAACAAGGAATGTTCTACCACAGATAAAATTTTCAGAGGTTATTTGAACTTTAAATAACTATTTAATATCCTAATCTTGGCTAGTTATTTTCTTTAAATAATAGGAATACTACATATATAGAATATTTAGGCAAAAGTATTTGTTCTTTGCTTTTGCAAGTTAATCCATATCCTCTATCAGCAGTTCTTTTATAAACTAAGGGTACATGATTAGAACTGTGGTCTGTGGTTAGGACTGAATTTTAATGTAATTGGTTTTCTTTGGAATCATATACATTCTTTATTTTTCTTCTTTTTTAATTTTAGTCCCATGAATTTTATTTTGTGCTTTACAAACATTATTCTGAGGCGTCCATAGGCTTCATTAGGCCATCAAAGGTGTCCATGACATACCCCAGAGTGCCACAAAACATTGCATATGGTTGAAGAAATTTTGTTTTAGATGAGTCACTTCAGAAAAGTTGCTTCATATATTTGTAATTCATCAGAAAATAAAATGTTATACAACATAAATCATATTTCAGTATCTTAGCTGTTTTAATGAATAAAGTCAGTTATCTGAGCTGTTGTGGTATTTTTGAATTAACTTGGAAATAATTACATTAGTCTTTTAGTCTTCTATTTTTTACAAATATTGACATGCAAAAAGCAGTTTGAAGAAATACTTTTCCTTTGGAATTTGGAAGGTTTTTTTTTTTACTTTTTGTGATTTTTCCAAGCTAGCAAATTTATTCAGTAGATATTTATTGACCTATTGTTGTATGCTAGGCACTAGAGATTGGAAAATTAATAAGACAATGTTGAAGTAGTCAGAAATAAGAGTTCTACCTTTCCTAAGCCTTGTCTTTGGCTATTCCCAGTCCTCCCCCAACTGCATTGAGTTTACAAAGATAAAACAGTCTTTTTCTTACACCCTTGCTTTTGCAACGTGCTGCTTCACTTCTCTTCCAGCTTCCCGGTCATCTATGCCACACCTGTGAATTATCTTCATTTTGGGTTACCACTGTATTTTTTACATCTCATTGTTAAAGATTTATAGAGGGAAGAGGGAAAAACTAAGGGAATGAAGATGATATGTGTATTGCATCTTAAGTGTAAGGAGAATACTGGATGGACAGCACAAGGGTTGGTAATGCAGGTGCGGGGAGCATTCTTACGACCCAGAGACATGATGTGAGCAATGTCAAGGGGCATTTTGGGTGCTCTAGTTATTGTTTATGGCTGGATGGATTGTCGTGTTATTTATGAATTAAAATCGTCATTAAGGAAGTTTTGAATTATTTTTCTGAAAAGTTGTACGTAGGTTGAATTTTTCTAAATTAAATCTTCTCTGTTGCTTACGTTGTTATTTCAGAGTTGCTTTCCCTTTATTTCTGATGCATTGCCTTCTAATATTGTAACTTATTTCTCTTTCTCTAGCCCAAACAGCTTGTAAATGAATGTTTAAAATAATACTATGGTGAATCCACTTGTAAAATGAAGCATTCCCAAACATTTTTTTGTAAATTAGAATTTTTCATATTTTAAGTTTTCTTAAAGTAGGATAGTTCTATAAATGAATGTGCTTTTTTCTACTAAGAATGACTTATTAATAGATTTAAAAATTTAGCAATTAATACTTTATTGTACAGTTTATCTGATGCCACTAATCTGGATTAAGGCTTTAGTCAAGATTGATATGTCAGTTTAAGGAAATGGAGGAATAATAAAATGGGGTATAAAATATCATAATACAGCTTTTACTTTTTCTTCAAATGTGTATTTATATTGTTAAAAAATCATTTTATATCAAAGATTGTGTTTTTGATGTCATTATAATTAGCTTGCCTTTACCGAGTACCTGCTATGTTTTGGGCATTTATTAGGTATTTTATACATGGTTGATGATTCTTATAATAATTCTATGAACCTTTTTATATAGGTTATGATTACAGATGATGGAACTCATCTGCTTTTAATGATTGAGTAGTTGAGTAATGTGCTTTGTTGGCGGAAGCTTTTCAGAGGTAGAATAATTGAGAATCAAGAGGTTAGTATCAAAACATGGATTCCATCCTTGTCAAGAACCCATCAGGGCATTGTTTGTTTACCAGGTACTTTGTGCTTTGGCTTCTTCTAAACTTCTCAGCCTGCATAATAAACTTCTGCCCCTCTAATGATGGCCCTCCCTGTTTTTAGGTGAGCAGGCTGTTTGAACCCTGGAAGATTTTTCCTCCTATAAGGTACTGCTGTATAGGCCTGAGATAATCTTACCTCCTTGTCAGTATAGTACTGACACTAACCTAGCTGCGAGGTGATAGGAAACTG